CGGTCTTATTCAACAAAATCTGTCTACAAGAAAATCTGTCACCAAAGTATACCAATATATAATTTAAGAAACATTTAAGTTCAATTTTTTAAGCTTTTTTAAAACAACATGTATCCATAATATCCGTGAGCCCCCTTATTTTGTATATTTGTTCAGGATTAATCAGTGTACCAATATAGAAAAATTGGTGAACATCTTAAAAGCAAAGGTTTGAATTTTATAACGGGAGAACCTCAGTAACAAGCAATTAGTTTTAAAAAATGGCAAAATTCAGTGATCGTTAATTTTTTTTCCTATATCAAACCTCTTGACAAAAGCTATAGCCTAACACGACACCTTGCGGAATGTATGCTGAGTCTAGGTTATTAACTGCGAAAACTCGATATTAAGGTTTCCGTCAGAGCTAACTAGTAATGATTTACACCAATAGATGGCGTCAACGCATGAGTATGTATATTGCCATTAGTCGATGATCCGATGAGAGTCCTAATACATTGACGAGACAGTGTATAATGTAAGACACAGTTCTGATCCAGAAAGTCTGAACAAAAATGTTTCAGATCTATTTATAGTTTGTACGTCTAATACAAACAAAAAATCCTTTGTGAAGAGATCAGTTTTACTCAATTAATTAGAACATAATATTTTCTATTTATCTAGAAATCAAAAGATGATCCGATGGATGGGGTTCGATACCTGCTTAATGTACTATGATTTACACGTGCCACAGGACGATCATTCCCCTGTAACTCACCATCACCATTTTAACCCATCCTTTGCTAAGTCATGTTGGACTCGAAAAGTTATGTGATTACATTTTTAAGATGATTGAAAACAGGAATAAAGGCGTCAATCTGAGATCTTAATAGTTATAATATGGAGAGTTATTTTAAAACTTGTTTCATTCTTATTCCTCTTTCTGTCTATTAATAAAACAGTTGTTTATTACTTCATTCGATACCTTCAGAGGTGCTTCCGCTCTCCTAGAATGAAGTTGATCTGTGTTTATAATTGTTGATCGCCCCCTCTCCTTCACACGCGCACTCCCAATTCAACAGCTGCTACATATTTAACACATTAAGTTGGCAAAGCATTGTCCATTAGCACGTAATAAGTGGGATATTACGTGGTAGTAGCACTACTGAGAATTTTACCAACTGACCAAATACTTGATCATTTCGTACTGACCACAGGAGGCCAGGTGGTTAGGGCGCTCGACTCGCAATCTGAGGGTCGCGGGTGCGAATCCCCGTTACACCAAACATGCTCGCCCTTTCAGCCGTGGGGGCGTTATAATGTGACGGTCAATCCCACTATTCGTTGGTAAAAGAGTACCCCAAAAGTTGGCGATGGGTGGTGATGACTAGCTGCCTTCCCTCTAGTCTTACACTGCTAAATTAGTGACGGTTAGCGCAGATAGCTCTCGTGTAGCTTTGCGCGAAATTCAAACCAAACCAACTGACCACGGGTGTTTTTATTTTTTCCCGACTTAAAAAAGTTTTTTTTTTAATCAAAAGTAACAATATTGGAATTTTCAACCTGAAGCGCACGTGAGCTTAAACGGCCTAGTATTGGAACCTTACAATTCGGGTACAGCCGAACCTGATTTTGAAGAACTGACCAAAGAATGGGCAAATGATTAGCAACATCCGGTTTTATTCGGCTCTTTGAACTGGGTAATGGGATTGATTGTCACTGTTCTTACGCGCACAAAGCTGAAGGTGCAAAGCTTGTTCAGCGGCTTCGAGCATCGAACCTCAAACCCTTCGATCGAAGCCCAACACGGAAGTTTAAGTTAGACGAAGAATTATTTTGTTTTAAAACATAATTTCCTTTTTTGAGTCTTGTTTGTTTTGTTGTTAAGTGTAAAGTTACGCATTGGGTTATCTGTCTGTGCCAATCACGGGTATCAAAATCCAGTTTTTAGCGTTATAAGTCTTCAGATTGACCACTGAGCCACTGGAAGAGGGCTCCTTGAGACTCATGGGAAATTGATTAGATAATTCCAGCATTGAGCGTATACCAGTTTGTTTTTGTTTTCCTTTATGTTATAAAAGCTGCCTGAAGATTTTGCTATATAATTATTATCTTTCTTCTAATATAGACGGTTATTATACTTTATTTTTCGTATTTCGTTACTATTGTTATTGTGTGGCTAGACTATTTACGATTTCGTGTAAGAAGCCTCATATTTCAAACCTCTTTAGAAGGCCCCACCCCGATGTTATTTCTGCAGACTTGTACCGCTAGAAACCGAGTTTCGATATCCGTGGTGGGCAGAGCACAGATAGCCCTTTGTGTTTAATAAAAAAACAAAACAATAACAATCTTTTAGAAGGAAAAAAAAAGAAGAGAATAATGACAGTTCCTAAGCCTTGTTTTTGTAACACAAACAAACTTAGATTTGTGGCTTTTAATTAATGATTGTTAATTATTCGAGTTCAATAGCTACGGTTTGTCCTTTAGTATGGTGGATGAACACCGATTCTCGTTTAAATTATTGAAATAATCCTTATCGTTACGCTTTTACTTGTTTACAGAAGCAGCCTCATATTATAAGTATTAGTGCTCTGTCTCTTCTTGGTCGAGTTCTCGCACGGGTTCGTCTCTCCTTAGCACGAGAAGGAATGAGGAAGTCGTATTTCATTTTCAGCGTTAACTCTTGCTCTTCTCCCTCTCTTTCTCTACATAAGCGAATCTTTACTACTAATACAGAAACAACTTAAAAGAAAATCCCTTACAGTTTCTCAAGACAAAAACATTGCGAATATTTTCCCCCCAAGTTCCTTTCGTGTCGGTAATTAAATATCATGTTCGCATAACACTCTCTAATGGGATAAAAAAAATCGACAATATTTTGCCACTTTTACCATAACATTTGTTGATAACTGCATAGCTTAAGGACAGGAGTGACCTCTTGGAAATTAAACAATGGGCCTTAAACACGGAGTTTCCAATAAGTCGTGATAAATGTAAGTGTCAGAGCCAGACGCGTGTTTTTTTGTTAAAGATTACCATTTGAAAATGTTTGTTTTCAATTGTTGTGCAACGTAAAAAGATACAAAAAACACAGAATTCTTTACTCACAGAATATTATTTATATCCTAAAGTAACAGACCCCTGGATGATCGAACATTATTCACACAAAATATTAAAAAAAAACACTTCAAATATTTGTATAACAACTATTATTTTAACATACACGTACAAATCAAGGATAATTAGCTATATCCGGTATTTTAATGTTTAATTCGTACATTATATTAGGTTTTACGAATAAATACGTACGTGTTTAATATTTAATGCAGGCAAATTAAGTTTACTTTTATCACTAATACAATGTTCGCCATCTGGCGGTCGTTCTCTTACGTCTTCGGGCCGTGAAATTGTAGGTAAAACAACGTGACTGGATCTATTTGGCTTCAAAGCGTGTTTCATGGCTTGACCTCTGACCGACAGACCTGTAGAATTTTGAGAGTTGGGGTGACTTGAAGATCTTGATAGTTTCTTATTTCGATCGCACGTGAAACTAGGTGTGGGAAGCGATAGGTTTGTCACCAGAGTGGCGCTGTGGGCCCAGGAAACAGAAAAGGTGAAACGATATATTTTGTCTTGAATTTCGGAATCACACTTGTCACATTCAATTTGAGGTTTTTTTTTTTTATAAGACTGTACAACACGTCACAGCTAGATACTTAAATATGTTCTTTCGAATTTCGCGCAAAGCCACACCAGGGCTATCTGCGATATCCCTAATTTAGCAGACTAGAAGGAAGGGAGCTAGTCATCACCGCCAACTCTTGGGCTACTCTTTTACCAACGAACAGTGGGATTGAGCGTCATATTATAACGCCCCCCCCCCCACAGCTGAAAGGGCGAGTATGTTTGGTGGGACGGGGATTCGAACCCACAGATTGCGAGTCGAGCTCCCTAACCACCGGGCCACTTAAATATGAAGACACAACACGTACTGAATGTTGTTGTCCACAATCTATCAGTGATAGATTGTGGACAATACCTATCTATTACAGCAATGATAGACTGTGGATAATACCCATTTATTACATCACAGATAGGCTGTAGATAATACCCATTGATTACATCACAGATAAGCTGTAGATAATACCCATTTATTACATTACGGCTGTAGATAATACCCATTTATTACATTACAGGTAGGCTGTAGATAATACCCATCTATTACATCACAGATAGGCTGTAGATAATACCCATTGATTACATCACAGATAAGCTGTAGATAATACCCATTTATTACATTACAGGTAGGCTGTAGATAAT